ACCACTCCCAGGGCCCCCGGCCTCCCCGAACGGTGAGCCCTTACCAGCCCGCTCAGCCTGCGCAGTCCGCACCAGCCCTCCCAGCCCTGTGCCGCCCGCACAGCCTGCCCAGCCCTGCCAGCCCTGCCAGCCCTGCCAGCCCTCCCAGCTCGGCCAGCCGGGCCAGCCAGCAAGCGGCAAGATCCCTCCGGTCTCCCAGGAGGCGAAGGGGACCCAGACGGGAGTAGAGCAGCCTCGCCTCCCAAACGTACCTGCAAACAGGCCAGCTGAGCCTCACGTTCAGGTCCAGAGGGCGCAGTCGGAAACAAGCCAGACCTCCTATCCCTCCCCTGTGTCTGTTTCCATGAAGCCTGACCTCCCAGCACCTCTCCCCGCTCAGGCTGCCCCAAAGCAGCCGTTGTTTGTCCCGACAACCTCAGGCCCCAGCACCCCTCCAGGACTTGCTCTGCCACTTGCTGAAGCCCAGCCCGCCCCCAAACAAGATTCCTCTCCACACTTGACTTCCCAGAGGCCTGTGGACATGGTCCAGCTTCTGAAGGTAAGTCTGGGCAGGGCCTTCCCTTCCACCCTCCAAGCTTTGTGCTGTGTGCAGTGTCTTTAAGATCCCCACTTAGACCAGCAGGCTGCTGCCTAGGGCCATGGCCAGCATGGCTCTCTTCTCCAGCCCTGAGCTCACTTCTGTTTGTTTCCCTGTAAGCAGAAGTACCCGATCGTGTGGCAGGGCCTCCTTGCCCTCAAGAATGACACAGCTGCTGTGCAGCTCCACTTTGTCTCTGGCAACAATGTCCTGGCCCATCGGTCCCTGCCCCTTTCTGAAGGAGGACCCCCGCTAAGGATCGCCCAGAGGATGCGGCTGGAGGCCTCACAGCTGGAAGGTGTTGCCCGAAGGATGACGGTAAGACTTGGGGCCCAGGTGGGCAATTGCCCACCCCCAGGGAGGGAAAGGGGTGGCCCCTACTGCCTGTCTCCCTGGCTCAGCATGGGGTTCAGTCATGGCATTCTTGGGCTGGATGGTAAAGGGAATGTTCTGTCTCCACTGGGGTGTAAAGTGCTTCTAGACCCAGAGACCAGGCTTATTTTCACTCAGCAGATATGGGGGTGGACTTGAACACTATCTCAGAGGTGGGGGCTTTTGTGACTCTTCCTGGGTTGCTGTTTTGTGAGGTGGCACTGATCACTGATGGCTGCCTCTGCCCCAGGTGGAGACAGATTACTGTCTGCTGCTGGCTCTGCCCTGTGGCCGTGACCAAGAGGACGTCGTGAGCCAGACTGAGTCCCTCAAGGCTGCCTTCATCACGTATCTGCAGGCCAAGCAGGCGGCAGGGATCATCAACGTTCCCAACCCTGGCTCCAATCAGGTGAGCCCCGTGCCCAGTATCCTGCCTCCGCACACACACAGGTGGGGCTGGTCTAGGCTGGTCAGGTGGTCTGACTGACTTGGTGCCGTGGGCTGCCAAGTGCCAACTAGAGTAGTCCAGGAAAGTGTCCCAGAGGAGGTGGACAAAGGGGCATTCTGGACAGAGACAGCAGGCAGTCTGCCATCGCCCATCCTGGAGACAGTCGAAGGACAGCCAAGACAGCAGAGGTTTTTCTTTAGCTTAATGATATAGAAGAGGTTCCCAGGGGTTAGTCCATGTTAGTCGCCTGGAGCCTGGATTCTTCTGGCAGACAAAGTCTTGGTGACGTTAGCCGGTTGGGAAATTGACTCAACCTGGCTCTTTGTGTCGGGCTTTTCTTTGGGGCTCCTAATTGGAAATGTTTAAGGGAAGACTGGTCGTGGGGTGTGTGATGTGAAGACAGGAGGTCCCATTTTTGTCTCTCGTCTCCTTCTCCAGCCTGCCTATGTGCTGCAGATCTTCCCGCCCTGTGAGTTCTCTGAGAGTCACCTGTCCCGTCTGGCCCCTGACCTCCTGGCCAGCATCTCCAACATTTCTCCCCACCTCATGATTGTCATTGCCTCTGTGTGAGCCGCTGAATGGTTACCACTTGGTGTATCTTCCTGAGGCTCTGCAGAAAAAAAAAAAAAGAAGAGAGAGAAAGAAGAAAAAAATCCCACAGGACAACAACCCAGCCAAGTGGAGGAAGAAGCTGCCGATGGGGATAGACTCCACTGCCAGACGGCCAGCCTCGCCCTCCTGCTCGCCCGCCCGGCTCAGTTGGATAGACCCCTCTGGGCAGTGGTGCTGCTACTTGTATGTTTACATGACATTTAGCCCAAGGACAGATCACCAACCGATGGACTTGCAGACACCTTGAGGCTGGGTTCCTCTCTCCTCTTTCTGGAGAAAAGGAACAGGGCAGTAGAATTGATTTTTTTGTTTTTTTTGTTTTTAAGAAACAAAACAGAACTGCCTTTGCACTAAATTAGTGACTTGGACTTTTGCACAGTGAAGACAGGCTGTGATGCTCTGGATGTCTTGGTGTACGTGAACACACATCGTGGACTCTCACACAGGACTTCGATCTTCTGCTGAAACCTTGGGGTCAAGGAACATTTCATTGGGTTGTTTTGTCCCCACCCCACCCTTCCCCTTGCTCATCTGGATGTGTCACACCTTTCTTAATTCTCCTGCCTCCATCATCTTAGAATCACCCAGGATGTACAGTTTACAATCAGAAAAGAGCGAACGGAAGGACTCTCTTGGTGGAATATGCAGAACTTGGGATGTGTGTATATATAAATATATAATATATATAAATATATATAATACTGACTTAAAAAAATCAAATTCCCCGACATACATTTTTTTTAATCTGTGCCAAAAATGTGTTTTCAGAAAAAATCTTATTTTCATACTCAGACTTTGTATTGTCACTCATTTGTATAAGTGTGCTTCGTTACAGCACGGGCCCCGCCCCCGCAATTTGGAAGTGTCACACACACACAAAAAGACTGTACAAAAAGACTGGCTTCCCCTCTTCCTGTGACCTTGACCTCTCCCCCAACTTCCTAACACTTATTAATTTATGAAACTTTCTCAGCGCAGTTTTGTTTTGTGTGTCCATTGGATTACAAACTTTATTAAAAAATACAAAACACGTCAAGTGTGAATGTGATTGTCACTTGGACAAGAGGGCCAAGGACCCTTGGCTTATGAGAACAGCTAGCTCTCCTCCCATTTTTGCTTTCTTACCCTCCTATCAATCAATCAAGTCTGTCTATGGGACCTATTTCTTTTCTTCCACTAATCCTCCCCAAGGATCATTTTTATCTGGTTCAAAAATGATTTTCATCTCGGAACTAGAACCATTTTTCTGTGCTGTGGTGTAAATCTGACGCTTGAAGATCCCATCTGGCTCCTGGGTAATGTTGAAGGCACTTCCAAGTTGGATGAAGAATAAAACCACCCACCCCACCCACCCCAAACACAGAAACATCTTAAGCAAGCTTTGGCATCTTGCCTCTTGCCCCTTTCTCCTCCAGGTAGTAGCGGCACAGCCTGGCCTGACGGGGTTCTCGTAGCTGCCTCCCAGACAGGAAGATGGGACGGGAGGGCCAGGCCTCCCCTGCAGCTGGGCCCACCACAAGCTGGGGAGGTGGACGTGGGGGACAGGAACACAAGGACCACAAAGTTGGTGGTCTCACCTGCAGTATCCCTGGGGCTCCTCCAAACAGACCTATACTTTTGGTGCAAGATGGTACCACCTCTGAGTGAGGGATTACAGCTGCTGGGATGAGCTGTGCAGAAAAGTGGAAGGGATGGCATCTCACGTCTCCCTGCTGACAGGAGGAAGACTGAGCCGCCCCACCATCCCAACTGCTGCTTCTAATTTAAGCAGTGCTATGTCCCCCACCTCCCCATCAGAACTCCTGGCCGCTCATTCCTGTCGCTCCAGACCCTCAGAGACTCCACTGATTCAGGGCAAGTAAACGTTCCCAAAAGGTGACACTGGCTTGGCCGTGATCTTCAGGCCAGCACTACCGTGAAGAGAGAACAGCCCTCCTGCTTCTGTAAGCCCAACAGAACCAGGCCCATGACCTGCTGGGTCCAGTGCTCTGCCTGCCTTGCTGCTCTGGCTGAACGGACCCCTGAGTGGAGCTCTGTACAGGTAGAGCACGGCCACCCGTGCAGCTGTGGCCAAGCCCTGCGGGCCTGGCTCCTGGGCAGAGGGGGCCGAGGTCACAGCTGTGCTCCGTGGAGGAAAGGGGAGGTCCAATGCTCAGGCTGAGCAGATGAGCAGCCTCCAAAGAGGGGACCAAACGAAGGGATGTGGCCTGGGGAGCTGCAGTTTCTCTGGACCTAAGTGCAAGTGTGCTGCCCACACCCCAACTTGGGCAAAGCAGCCAGCTTGCTTCGACAGGTCCCAGGGCTCCAGTCCCATTCTGCAAAGGGACAGCCTGCCTTTCCCAAGAAGCAGGTCTCTGTTGGCTCGTCCCTGGGTGGCGCAACCCTTTGGTGGCATCAACCACAGCTGCCAGCTCCCCACCCCACCCCCACAGGGAGCTCTAGGCAGCATTAGAAAATAATCAAATTTATTCTCTCTAGGGAATGGGGCCACCCCTCAGTTCTAGGGTACCACCCATCCTTAAATAAACAGGAGGAAGAGTGCCTGCTCACTCAGCAGGTGGTGGACATTCAGGGGCTGTGGGGGGTGTCTCTGCCAGGGCAGGCTGGCTGTCAGCCCCTTCCCGAGGGCGGAAGACCAGCTCCCCTGCCTGCAGCACCTGCCCAGCTGGCCACGTGCTGCCTGGCCCGTACTGCTGGTAGAAGTCCGCATCCGTCTGGAACATGACCAGTGCCTGGGCCGTGTGGATCCGCACGTGCTGGGCCAGGCTGTTTGCATCCAGGAACTTATCCCCACAGGAGTCACAGGCATAGAGGATGTGGGTGTTGGGATCTGTAGAGGGTGGGACAGCAGTCAGGACAGGAAGGGCCTCTGGGCCCACCAGCTTTCCCACCATGGGCAGCCTCTCACCTTCTTCTTGCACTTGCTTCACCGCTTTGCTGATCTCGGCTTTAAGTACTTCTGTCTCATCCGCGGTCACCGCGGCCCCCACTGGCACCACTGTGGGCGGAATCAGCAGGGCCTGAGGCCAGAGTAGCCTACCCCTTTGCTGCCACCCCAGAAGCAACCCCTACTGTGACCACCCCTGCTGCCCTGTGAGCCGAGTGACGCCCGCACCTGTGAGCTGAGTGACGGCTGTTGCTGCCAGTGCCTCAGTGGCCAGTGTGACCATGTCATCGACTGTGACCACGCTGACCTCACCGCCCTCCTCTGGCTCCAGGATTTTGATGCCTGCCTTGCCCTGGTGCACGGTCTTCACGTGGGAACGCAGGTTGTCCACCCGGTTGAAACCTCGACCACACTTGTCACACAGGTAAGGCTTCTCTCCTGGGGGAGGAGGCAAGGTTCTCTCCTGCCATTGGAGGGGGGTGCAGGGGGGGGAGGACCTCAGTGGCCTCCAGTTTCCCCAGCAGCCCTGTCTTTTCCAGCTGGAAGTGCTCTGGGGTGGCCACCTGAGCCACACAGAAGCCTCCACCGGCCCCCATGCCTCTGGAAGCTGAGAAAATAGGGCTCTCACTGGAGTCGAACTACTCGCAAGGCTGCCTGCAGCAAGTGCCGGCACCCAGCCTGGGGTCTGCGGCACCTCCCGCCCCACCACCCGCCCCAGAGTCAGGGCTCGGGACAGAGGCGGGTGGCACATGCTCACCAGTGTGGATGATGATGTGCTTGGACAGGTCCCCAACATTCACGAAGGCCTTGCTGCACACGCTGCACTTGTGGGGGCGGATGTTGTCATGGTGGCGGATGTGATTGGCCAGCTGACTGGACTGGACAAATCTGCAGGGCCACAGAGTGGGGGGCTTGCACCAAACTGCCCAGGCTTCCCACCACAGAGTCTACATTGGAGAGGACCCCCGGGACCTGCGCCTGGACTCAGGCAGCAGTGGGACCGGCTCCAGCCGAGCCCTCTGCTTGTTCTCTGACCCCTCCACCAGCAGAGGGCAGGGACCCCGCCGTGCCCGGGGTAGGGGATGGAGGGGCTGGACCTCTTGCCGCAGCGCTCGCAGACGTACGGCTTCTCCCCGGTGTGCTGGCGCACGTGGGCGATGAGGGAGCTGGCCTGCGTGAAGGCCTTGCCGCACATCACGCACTGGCATGGCTTCTCACCTGGGGACAGGGACGAGGACCACTGTCGGCACCTCCCTTCCTCCTATGTGCCCCTCCCTGGCCCCAGGCACCGCCAGGCTAGCTCACCCACCCGTGTGGATGCGGACGTGCCGCTGCAGAGCGCCAGGGTCAGCAAACTGCCGCTGGCAGTGGACGCACACGTAGGGCTTCTCCCCGCTGTGGATCCGAAGGTGCCGCTTCAGGTTCCCTGTGGGAAGCCGAGGGAGGGCCTGGCACACAGCGCCAAGGGGGGCGGGAGGGGTGCGTGAGGGCGGCCGGGCAGCCGGGCCCTACCTGAGGTGGTGAACTGCTTCCCACACTCCCGGCACTTGAGGGGCCCGTCTGCGATGTGGATCTTCAGGTGGGCCTTCAGATTCCCCACCTGTGCCCAGGCAGGGGGTCAGAAGGGCTACTACCTCCCCAAACTTGGCCTCGGGACGCCAGGGCAGCCCCTCCCGCCAGTGAACAATGGATTCTGGTCCTCCTGGAGCCCACAGGGGCTCCATCTCCTCCAGGCCAGTGGAAAGGGAACCCCCTCATCTGAGTTAACCTGCCTTCCCAGCATCCCCAGCAGAGTGATCAAGATTTCTACCCCAAGGAGGGTCATTTTCTACTCAGCCACCACCACCGACTCCCCCACTGGGCCTGTCTCTCCCCTGCGCCCCCGGCCCCCGGGTTGGAAGCCACCGGGGCACAGGGGCCTGGGCCCGGGCGCCCCCACCTGGTTAAACTTCTTGTCGCAGTGTGGGCACTTGTGCTCCTTGTCAGTATCGTGAGTCTCCAGATGGCGCATCTTGGATGTGGGGTCGGAGAAGGATCGGCCGCAGTAGTCGCACTGGTAGGGCTTCTCGCCGCTGTGCACCAGCTGGTGCCGCTTGAGGTTGCCCGACGTGGTGAAGAGCTTGCCGCAGTCCTCGCAGCGGTAGCGCGCCTCGCCCGAGTGCCGCTTCTTGTGCAGGTTCAGCAGGCTGATGAGCCGGTAGCTCTTGCCGCCACTCCTCGCAGCCATAGGGCTTCAGCGGGCTGGTGGGCAGAAGGCGCAGGGAGAGGAGGCTCGCGGGGTCCGGGGAGGGCGGGCGGGGCCGAGGGGCCGCCGGGCCTACCTGTGGGTCTTCTCGTGGGCCTTGCACGCGGCCGGGTCGGAGAAGGCCTTGCTGCACTCCCGGCACGAGAAGGGCTTCTCGCCCGTGTGGATGCGGATGTGCCGCTTGAAGTTCCCGGTGTGCGTGAACTCCTTCCCACAGTCCTGCAGGCGCAGCGGGAGGCAGGGTGTCAGGCGGGGAGGCGGG